GGAGGCATCCTGTCGCTGTCCTGAGTGCGGTGTTCTGTACAGTCCGTAGCTTCGTCCACTGCGTCCTACTAGTCCCTGGCGACCACACTGGCGCTGCGTAGTTCAAAACCGGCCGGCCTATTGCCTTGTATGTTGCCAGCAACGTTTCTTTGTCTTTCTTTTTTACTGCCGGCTAGCGACTTGAGACCTTGTTGCGGCTCTGTACTTTATTGACAATAGCGGTTGAGTGCGCAGAGAAGGAGAGCAGGCTGTCGAATGTTACTCCGAGTATTTTGGGGTTATTCACCGTCGGAATTGGTGTGTCATCGACGTGAATCCCCAGCGGTAGCCTGACCTCCTTCGTCCAGGTTGTGAACAGGGTCGCGGAGGATTTCGTAGGGGAGAGGGCTAGACACAGTGTGTGAGGCTGCTCGGGCGGACTGTGGTTAGCCGTGGAGGCTGCTCTGTTTGAGCAACAGGGGGCCACGTACGACGTGGTCCACTGTCTATGTGTCCGTAGTCCCGAGCAGACTCTGAGGTGACTCCACCCCTCGCAGGCATTACACTTGACTGAGGTGGAGTTGTGGTGTAATCGTCTCCGGCATACACAGCAGGTGTAGGTTTCTGGCCCTGGGTTTGACTCGATGCCAACCCTGAGTAGGAGAATACGTAGTGAATGTAGCCCTATGGACGGACAACTTCTGAGATACTTCGCCGACCTAAACGGGGTTAGATCGCCGAAACAACAGCCCTTGGTCGGGTAAAACCCGAGTCATTCCGGTACGTAGAACCGGCTGTCGTGGAAATGTTGAAATTCATCTAACTACCAATGCTGAAGTTGAAAGATCATAGAAGAATATTACGCACGCTTGGCAGAAATCTCACAGGTGGAAATAAGACCATCGGTAAAGCTCACGACATCGAAAGGGATTAGTACTCCTTAGAGGTATCACAGCGCTACTTGTTTCATGTGAGGAGGATTAAATCGTTTAAATTTAAACTAAACATGTTTAATTTACAGACCGCTTTTAAACGCTATTTTTGTATTGTCCGACGCAAAAGATCTTATTAGGCGCCACGAAGCAAGCGCGCATTGGCTAGTTTTAAAATTAAAAAAAAAAAAAACAAATTAATGATACGGGTTCGATTCTTGCTGACGTCTAGAAAAAGAAGTATACCGCTTAGATTTTGTTGTTTCTTAAATCTTTCCTTCTCGAAGTAGCAAGAAATCGCAAAATTTTAGGAAGTCCGTTTGCTGTCTATTCCCGCATATTAGGACGGATTCCCTCAAATTGTTACAAACTTCCTTTGGGAAGCCTGTTCTTTAATGATCTTTGCGAATCGGCGCGACTGGCTTTGTGAAGTAGTCATCGTTACGCTACAGGAGAAAAAATATAACCCAAATTGAGCCTGCTAATGTTTTTTCGCTATTACTTACTTTTAATTTCCCTATTTATTAGCATTAAAATGCAAAAAATTTTTTACATCTGCCTTTGCTGTCCAGCGCCACTTGCGACTGTATAATTAGGATAGGGAATTTTTAGCGACAGAGAGCACAGAATCGCAATTTGTGGAGGTCGACAAAAATACGGATAAAAATTATGCTTTAGCATTTTAGCGATAGTGAAAGTTATAGTTCTGCTGTTTTCATGTTGTATTTGACCTTATCTACAAACTGTACAATGTAAATATAGCTGATTACTTAATAAATACGATATAAATCAGAATTTCATACTTTATGCAAAAATTATAAAAATTCTGAAAAATTTAAACAAAATTACTAACTTCTTATTCAGCATCTTTGGTTAGTTTGCAGTTTTGCAGCCCATTAAGTTTTAGTATAATAAAGTACAAATTTTAAGTAGCTGGGACTTAACGTTGATTTTTGGCATACAAGGTATGATCGACAATATTTTTTATATGGAAAAAATGCGGAGCGACATCAGAAAAAAAAAGAACCAAAAATCAAACGGTTCGTCCTAGCTACTTCAAATACTAAGTTCTTTATTATACTTAAATTTAATGTGCTACCAAACTACGCAACAAAATTTTTTCTAAAGATGCTGATTAAAAAGTTGAAAATTTTGGTGCAATTTTGCAGGATTATCATAATTTTTGCTCAAAGTCTGCAATTTGGAGTTATATGGTGTTGGTTAATAAATCAGCTTTACTTTCATAAAAAA